GAATAACAGTTTTTGGTCACGACACGACTCTTAACTGGAGGAGCAGAGATGTCAATGAAGGCTGGCTTTAACCTGTCCAAACATACCGTATCCTGTTTTTCATTGATGTCCAGAGTATAGTACTTTGGAAAACGACGAAGAATCCGGAACGGGCCACGGTAAGGAGGACTGCAGATCAACATGAATGTAGGAACGATTTGTATGAGACCAGGTTTATTAAGTTAGATCCTGGACAAAAATATCGAGCCGTGGTTTCGGCACCTTACCATTGTGTTTCGTGGATTCTATGAGTCGTTTTAGTCATTCGATGAACCGAATCGCTGCACTACAACGTTGTTCAGCGCGTTAGTCCCCTTGCATTAAGACGACTCGACGCACAAGTCGACGACTCGACGCACAAGTCGACGACTCGACGCACAAGTCGACGACTCGACGCACAAGTCGACGACTCGACGCACAAGTCGACGACTCGACGCACAAGTCGACGACTCGACGCACAAGTCGACGACTCGACGCACAAGTCGACGACTCGACGCACAAGTCGCCGACTCGACGCACAAGTCGACGACTCGACGCACAAGTCGACGACTCGACGCACAAGTCGACGACTCGACGCACAAGTCGACGACTCGACGCACAAGTCGACGACTTGACGCACAAGTCGACGACTCGACGCACAAGTCGACGACTCGACCAGCAAGTCGACGACTCGACGCATTCCAACTATCTTAAACTCATTCGTCGAGGCGTTGGCCTCGTTTTGGCGAAAAGACGCTCTATATCATTGTGAATTCCCGCCAAATGTAGCAAGTAGACGAGATGGAAGAAATTAGAAGCATCCTTCAGAATGCTTTGCAACGTATTGATTCAATATCAAATGTGCCCACGAATTCAACTGATACACGTACAATAGTCACGACGATGCACGCATCAGCAGCAGCATCAGAACAGACTGCAGCAGGTTTTGCCCCCGTAGGCCCTAGGCCGAGTGCCTCCAGCGGTAGTAAGGCAAACACCAATGCAACAACTAGTAGTTTCCTCAGTCGAGTCTCTATAACTTAGGTATACTTCTAAAGAATCCTTGGAAATAAGTAAAGTACCTCGGCGACCTCGACTTCCAGTGTTTCAAAAACTTGCCCGTGTTCAATATCTCCTGAGAATGCGAATGTCTCTCTTGCTATCTGCAAACTATTCTCAATCTCTGGTGGGATGTAATTACAGAAAGATAAATTCACTTGTGCTAACATATTGAGATAGCCTATCCATGTGGGTACATAGAAAATCACAGCCTTCTGGATTCTTGTGAATTCCTTGCTTTATTCGATCCAATGCTAACTGTATTCCATCCCGAAGGCAGCTCTTCAAAACTTCTGTGTTTTGGGCTTCCATGTTGAATTTCGTATTCGCCAAAACGAGGTAGACGCCTCGGCGTTAAGACAGGTTAAGATAGTGGGAGTGCGTCGAGTCGTCGACTTGTGCGTCGAGTCATCGACTTGTGCGTCGACAGTGGCGGGGTGGCTATGTTTTCCCTGGGGTGGCCAAGTCGATTTTTGCGCCCTATCTATGTATCGTGGTTATATAAAAGCATGTGTTTCTGGAAGGGATATCTATTTTTGCAACTTGAATTCAAAATTTCATAAACAAGTTTTGACTAAGATGCGAATATGAATGGAAAAGTTATGTAATCCTAACATTTGACCTTCTCGATCGTGGTTCGGTAAAATATCAAGCTATTTGAATTGGCTTATTTTCGAGAGTCGGCCTATTTTCGAGGAAATACGGTAGGTAAAACATAAAATACTAATCAAAAGACATTTTATTCAATTACACTGATGTTTCATACAGGCTACTTGTTTATTATATCCAGAAAACCAGCTTCAGACTAAAATAACGTAGAGCAAATTTTTGTCTCGGACCCCTTCGTTTTTTAACTAAAGGCAGCCTTAGTCCAGTTCGCCACTTTTATGGGCGATTTTATCAGCCTAGTGTCATCGCATATATGATGTATGATATACAGACATGTTTCAAATTTGTTATTCTTTAGTAGTTATTAAATAGTAGTTCTTTCAAAAACTCGAAAGTTTCAAGCATATAATCGCACTATTGAATCTAACAGAGGCTGGGGCAGAAAATTGAATCTGGGGTTGAGCTAAGTATCAAGTTTAGCGACAAAAGAGGACCCACCATGGTTGGGTCCGACGCGGAAGAAATCTTTTGAAATCAAGCCTTCTAGAATGGCTAAAAATGCATCTCCCAGACTAAAATTTAACAAATTACTACACCGCTCAGAACAGACAGTTCGACGATGCTCAGAAAAACATTTGTTTTTTTATTTTTAGAAAAAATTTGGGAGGGTAGGATTCGTGCGTTGGATAAAGTAAGAAAGGGTGACCTTTGGTTCACATCGATGTTAATAACAAGAAGCTGCTGGATTGCCAGGGTGCATTCCATGTACTTTGGCCCGAAGATCTTTGGCGTACACTCAGGTTTTTTGGCGTTCTGAGTGCAAACTAATAGAAAAATTTTTTGGCATACGTAAAATCTTCGTTGGTTGGCGTGCTAGACATGAAGCAACGTACATAGTTAACACGAAAACATATGACACAAATGTTTATTGGGTCATGGCAGCGCAACGTGCTTCGACTGTAGAATCACACGTTTTATTAGATTGTTCACAGCAAGTTACGGCGAAGTGTTCGACCCGTGAACGATCATTTTTGATGTTCCTAGCCAAATATTACAAGCAAACAATTTTGGCGCCCCCTTATCTCCACTTGCGCCTCTATTCAGGGGGAGCCACGGCCCCTGGCCCCCCTGCCACCACGCCACTGTGCGTCGAGTCGTCATAGGTGCAATACAGTGCGGCGACTCGTCTAAAAGCAAGGGGACTAACGCGCTGAACAACGTTGTCGTGCAGCGATTCGGTTAATCGAATGACTAAAACGACTCATAGAATCCACGAAACACAATGGTAAGATGCCGAAACAACTACTCGATATTTTTGTCCAGGATCTAACTTCATACAGGTTGGCGTAGCTTGTAGCTTTGACATGTACCGACGTAAATGGTTAACCTAATTATTCGGATCTAGAGAATCCAACAACGATGGAGCGGAAAAATTGATAAGGGAGACGAAATTATGTTCCAAAAACGAGTTCAGCGTGGCTGCCCATAAGGTCTGATTTGAAAGAGGAACAAATACTGAGCATTATCAATGGAAGGCATTCAGTCCAATTAAGGCCGTTATCCGATGCTTTCAAGAAAGACATCAATTTTTTATTTTGTTTATTATATTCTTATTTCAACACGATATCCCATCAGAGACCTAATTACAAGTTATGATCAAGAATTCTGTTGTTTCTATTGCTATGCAAATTAGATAGGATAGCGTTAGCAGTTTTGTTTGCAGGTGGCAAGAAGGGTAAAAGAAAAAGTATTAGTTTAGAAAAGTAACACGATGTTTTTTAAGAGATTTTTTGGCTTTAATGCGAGTTATTCTTGTTTTCGTTCTTCTAGGAAAGTTTGCGAAAAACAGAAAAGAATGCATAGCAGAAAAGCGGAGGAGCGTCTAGCTTTTCCATCTTCTCAGATAGACGCTCATCCGCATCTCCGCAACTATCTTCTAATTCCAGTACCCAGACTCTGGTACCCAGGGTACGCAATTTCTTAAATCCGAGAAACTGTAAAAAGGAAATTAAACTCCCTTTTCATATCAGAGTGTTATCCTACAGAATGCGTTGCATATAACTTCAAGAACAACGCAGCGGTTTTACAAATTTCCCCAAAAGAAAGTTCTCGTTCCCCGATACCTGTTCCCTTTATCAAAACATAGACCGACCATCTTCTCGGAAGAAGCTAAAAAGAACAGCTTACATACAAGACAAAGATATAGAATCTCATGAAAAGTATTTATATACTAGTAAAAAGCTTTTGGTGTTAAGAACATGATGGTTTTAAGTTATTTTAAGTTTCACGCTTAAGGCAATCATCAGGCAGAAAGAGAATACTACAAGAAAGATGCATGGTATCTTTTTCTCTTTAGCATATTACATGGTTAGCCGGTATAGCCATTATTAAATGTTGTTCTAACACAAGGAATATACCAAGAACGCTGATGGAAGATCATCACCTTAGCTGTTCAAAAAGGCTGCCTGACCGAACCTCTGAACTCCCATAGCATTTTTCTTCATTCTCACTGTAATGTAACATCATCACTTACAAATGCGCATTATTATCTAGCTTACTCAGACCATTTTGGATGAGAATAAATGTATTAATTTTTACTGGAAAGAAATTTTAAACTCACACCTCCTCCTTATCCCCTTCCCCTTCCTATCTCCTCCCCTCCCCCACTCCCCTTCCCCAACCAAGTTCTAGAAGACTGCAGTACCAAGTTCTAGAAGATTGTATTGTTTGTATTGTATTGTATTGTATTGTATTGTATTGTATTGTATTGTATTGTATTGTATTGTATTGTATTGTATTGTATTGTATTGTATTGTATTGTATTGTATTGTATTGTATGGCATTTTATATACTACTGTATTATTTTCATTTAATTTTATTGTACTGTATCCTGTTGTATCTCGTCGTATTACTTTTGATCGCTTCATAATCAATCAAATTTAATCGGGCTGTTTTCGATCATATCATAATTAATTCAGAATGGATGGAATAACATTTCGCAGGAAGATTATCAAGAAGGCTGATGCATAACTTGATAACTGTATCAAAGTTAGAAGGCTTTGCCGTTGTGCTTGAGCTTCTCTTTCTTCCTGACAAAGCGTGAAGACAAAACTATATGTGATTTTACTTCAAGTCAATTTACAAAACACAATAAAATTTTAAGAAATTCATCCCGAGGAAGGTTCTGGTGCTGTCTGAACTCCGAGTATTACGCACTATGCAATGTTGTTTGCGATTCACAACTTGCTGCATTACATTATCATATAGGATCTTAGTGAAGGCATTTTGACAGTACTACATAGGCAATACGTCACCTCAACAGAACCATTTTCTTTACCAATTCCCTCTTCGGCAATCTTTACAGCCGTTATTTCACATGCAGAAGAAAAAGCACCATCAATGAAATATCGTCCTGGCTCAGCTATAATTCGTATTCCAGACGATAAAAAGAAATTATCTTTCAAAGATTTCTGTAACGTCTCTGCAATCTGAAATGAAATCAAATTTCTCAAATCAAATCATAAGGGCTACTCTTTCAAACATAGTTAAAGACACATCAAGCTCTTTCACTTAAAAACTAATTGCAACTATTTCTATTTACATTTAATTCAATTGCTGTAAGACGTGTGAGGCTTGTGCCTTTGGTTATCTGGAGGAAGGGATCTTGGTTATCTGAGAATGCAAATATGACTGAAAAAGCGCTTCGTGCTTTTATTGACAGAACAACAAACAAAGCGAAAGAATGTGCTTTCCACGTTTGTCGTACTTTCTTGTACCCTGAATGTCAGAGTCATTAAATGCTCCCACTTTCTGCTCCTTACCTCGTTCTATTTTCCTATGAGGCTGTACTATGCGAATAACCAGGAGAGAGCAGGTGCGAGGATAGACCAGTTTCTAGAGGCTTTGACTACAAATCCCACGGTCTGTGTCTCGTGTCCCTGGCATTAGCAAACTCTCACCAAGAGAGAGGAGAGTCACCGGCTCTCTGTATTATCATCCGTAGGAATCACGTGGTGTGGTCACATCGAGAGGAAGGAGCTTGACACCGCTTGCTAAGCACATCTTCTCAGTGCCCTAAAAATTACCTTCGGATCCTAGTAAGCAAGTACAAACACATTGTCATGCTCACCTTGCGAAAGGGTTCCTCTGTCCCTATGGCACCTGGAAATCCTCCACCGATATCAAGAAGGGTAAACTCATATCCTAAGCTGGCCTGAAATATAACAACTTTTATAAGCTCATTTGATTGATAACACGCGTTTCAAAAACATCACTAGACGACTAATTCAGATCAGAAGTCGGATGCAAAATATCAAAATGGATTGTTACAGGAAGAGAGAAGAGCTACACTCTTTTTTATAAGAACCAGATAATTTTTGCCGAGCCTCGATGTACTTAACTTTTTGATAATTTTAGGCTCAAATGTTCTTAAAATTGTTCTTATTTTAAGAGTGATTTTTTTGCAAATATTTGAGAAGTTACATACTGTATAAAGTTTCTAAGACGCTTTACTGGGTAAAGTTTTAAAAAAAGCAACGACTGCTAGTGTTTATGGACAAACTTGCATAGTTTTGTTCTATTGACATGACATAACTTTCAAAATGCGAATTGTTTTTTTTTTAAATTTCTCATCTGACCTAGCATTGTTCTTTTTTCTGGGCTAATCGAGCCTCAGTGTTCTTATAAAGTGTGTTCTTATAAAAAAGAGTGTAAGTGAAACTAAAAAGATGTGAAAAGTGAAAGTTTTATGAATATATGGGTATACTTCATATATACTCATGTTTCACATAGAACCTACCGCCTCGTCAAAAACTGCCCTCGCATCTTGAACTGCTTGCACATATGTTTCCAAATCCAAACATGTAGAACCAACATGAAAACTAAAAAAAAATTAATTTCAGAAAACATTATACGTTGAATAAAATCATTCAGGTTCAGGTTCTTTTCATTTTAAATTCCATAACATGCATTTTCATAAAATACTATATTAAAATACAGCAAATCAAAATAACAAAAAAATTATTATCACAATAACATGTAGAAAACAAATTATCAGTGGGATATGTATGTCTTGAGAATCATCAAAAGGAGGAACTCTCTCAGAAGCAAAGCTAACCAAGGAGAGAGAGACCCCATGTACACAAAAGTATTTCAGCACTTCACAGATATCAGAGTAAACAATACAGAAAATGAAACTCCGATTTTAGTAAGCGGGAAGTGAAAAACAGAGTGAGAAATTTTGAAGATTGATTGTGACAAATCATTGCTAAAACTGATACCGAAATATCTAAGAAGGATTCTTACGTTGACATCATGTTTAAATAATATATGCATTATGGATCTTCGGATGGATCCAGTAAAAAGAGCATTCACATTTAGAACAAGCCAGATAAGATAGGCTTTCCGTGATCTTTGGAATACCCTTAATGGGCATCTTTGTGAACTTTTAGTGCAGACAATTCTTACCTCACACCAATCACATTCAATTGCAGCTGTTTCGCTTTGGTGAGCAATTCTTTTGTGCAACCTTTCTTGACTCCAAACTTAGTACCCATCTGCAAAACAAAATCCTTCAAATATGGTAACCATTATCAAAAACAATTTCAAAAAACAGTCTCGTTAATTGATAACTATACTAAAAGGGACTAAGAGGAAACGTAAAGGTGCTATGTGCACACATCATTTTATGTTATTTTTTGGACATGTGTGCTACCATAATGACTTTATGAATGCTGCAGATGTCGTAAAGTACCGGAAATTCAGACTTTGAACTGTCAACCAACATTCTGATAACCAATTCGGCTTCCGGGTATATCTCTTTGATTTTATGCAATTCGCTTTCACAGTCAAATGTCATCATACTGACGTCGTATCTCTTAGCCAACTCAAGATGCGATATTTGCTTGGTTGGGTGTGCAAAAATCATTTTCTCCGGAGGAACATCAATCCTTAAGACCGCCTCTATCTCTTCATTGCTTGCACAATCGAATCCAAGGCCACTCTTTCCCAGCAATTTCAATACCACGGGATCCGGGTTGCTCTTTATTGCTACAAGAAAATAATTTAAATGCAAATGGTTTACTTTTTAAATTGAAGCTATATAAAATTTAACATTGCAATTGTACGTTCGACGAAGGTCAACGATGTTGACGTTGTTACGAACAGGTTACATAAACAAGTTTCATAAACAGCTAATAGAGCCTTTCTTAAACTGAAAATATTTAATAAAAGTAAATTCAAAATGGCCAATTTATGTCGCGAAACACGATTTACATTAAATCTAAAAAACTGCATAACTCAAGAACCGTTTGGAGTTAGATGCTCAAACTTTCAGGATTGTCTACTGTTTATGATATCTATCACTGATGAAAATTTCAAGAACTTCTGTGAGGTAAGGGTGTCAACCTTCCAAAATTCTGGATGGTTTGGTATGGATTTACCCTGCTCCTAATGTCAGCGGTAGAATACAGGTGTCATGCACTTACAGCGGATAAAGAAATTCCTGGACATATACTTTGCTCCTTCTTTGCTTCGCAAAACAAATTGTTTCTTAGGCCCTAGACGCCTTGATTTTTGACATAAAACTCGTCATTTGTTCGTCAAGTGGAAAATCGAGAATACCTTTCAAGTTTGACAAGGACAATCCAATTTCCGCTTGGAAATAGGCTAATGAATTTGGTTTAAAACAAAGAACGATTTGACTTTGGGTCTTGTGTGCCACCAGAAAATTTCGTTAATTGCTAATCTTCTCAGTGCTCGTCCTGCTCTGGGGCAGGACGACGGAACCTTCCATGGATTAGTGAATTTGACTCAGTGGCAATTTGGGTGGCCGCACTGGAAAATCAGAATTTGTTTACTAACAGGCTTAATCTCTTTTCTTTATGAACAATAGAGATTAAGTGTGTCAGAAGTTCTTCCTGAAATCTTGTTCTGTGCGTCTAGGGCCTTATGGTATTATTCCAAAATCTTTGACAAAACCCAGATATTTGTGTAGTGAAAATTTAAAATCTGTTTTCACTTACCATAGAATGGTTCTACGTTTGGCAAGCATTTCTTGAACAAGTCTATTCTGTTGATTACTTCGCCAAGATTTGCAACATACAATACGTCGATATCGCTCTAAGGGAAAAATATTGCCTGAAATTAAACTCAATGGGCACTTCACATCCTAAAAATGTGTAAGAGAATTTTTGGATTGCTGAAATTCAAATAATTATTATTGGAATTTTCGGATTTCTGTACAGATTTAACAAGGATTTTTGGATTTCTTAGGATTTTTAAGGATTTTTCATTAATTCCAAATATTCTTAAATACAATTGAAAACGTGTTAATATATTGTAAACTAATCTGCTATTCTCTTAGTTAAAGGAAATCAAAGCCAGGAAAACTCATTACCTGGTTACAAAACGACGACAAACATGGTGACAAAAGCGATTGTACTATATTGTTTTGCAAAGTTTGTAGAGCCATGAAACGCTTCTGCATGAACCACAAAAGTCAACCTAATAAATGATTCAGACCTATTCTATTGTTGTGTTGAGTTGTATTGCTTTGTGTTGCGTTGTGTTGCGTTAGGTTCTGTTGCGTTGTGTTCTGTTGTATTGCGTTGTGTTCTGTTTAATAATGCTGAGTTGTATTGTGCTTTGTTGAACTGTCTTGTGTTGGGTTGCATAGCATTGTACTGCATTGTGTGGTATTTAATTATTAAGAGAAGAGAACTTTATGTCTTCTGATAGGTTGGAATCATTACAAAAGCTTTGCATGGTATTTTAAACACTTTTCTTTAGCCACTAAAAACTTCTCCACAAAACACAGATTTTACGCAAATAAAATGCGCTACCCTGGTTCCTGAATAAAAATGTCCACTCCTCTACAAACAAGAGCAATAAGCGGATGCTGGCTAAAATCCTAATGAACATACAATTAGCTTCTTGTGCATGCAACGAGATTTCTACCTAAACAAAATGATTATCCTAGATTTTCAGACGGACATACAAAGGAACGGATTTTTGCCAAAGTACTCTCTTCTCTTGAAATGATTGAAACATAAGCAAAAGCATGTCTTCACCTGAAACTTTTTTTGACCACATATGATATTATATGTCTGTCTTTAATGAGAAATGAATACATTTTGTCCATCTCGTTTTTGCTTTTTGAGCTTGAGCGTCGATTCCTCTTTTGTGTAACAACTTATTCTATGATGATTTTTAACAGTGTCCACGTTAGAGGATTATATTCCATATTTCTTGAGGAAATTCTTCATTACGAAAATCGTTGTGAATCATAATTTTACGGCAACCGTGCTTTATCAATAGTGCATGCGATGCACAAAGTCTAGGCTGTCCAAAGATTTCTCTCTTCGAAAAACTCTCTTCGAAATCTTCCTCAAAACTGCTTTATCACATGATTATACCCCCATGATTCTATCATACTATTTTTTGCCCATACATTCCTTGTTTTCATGTAAAAATAGTTATCTTTCAAAAAAGCGAAACGTTCTACAGCCAGTGTAGTAGCCTTGAAGAAAAATTAATGCGCTATTTTACCCTACCGATAGACGATTCTACTGACCAAGTAAAGATTTTTAGACCATCTGAAGGTTCACCGACCAACTCGTCGAGAATTTTCGGGTGTCACACTCCCTAACACCCCCTGCTGGCTATGCCCCTATATACAACTGTCTAAATTACACTCAACATCTTCCATAAGTTGTGAATGAAAGTTACCATAGCAGCTTTAAATATAGAAAGGTTCACAAATAGCAGAAAAAAAAATCCACTCTTTTTCAAATTCAAGATCAAAATCAAAATTCAAGGTCATTTTCAGGGACGGATTTAGAGGGGGGTGTAGAGGGTGCGACACCCCCAATAGTTCTGTGTCCCTCGGTAAATTTTGTTTCATTCGGCCAAAATTCATTTGTTGTTAGTCAGTAGTAACAGAGTAACGCAAAGATTTTAATTTATTTATTTTTTTCTTTTTATTTATTTATCTTATCAGTAGGGTAGCGGGGGGAGGGGATATTCTCAAATGTATTTTAAGCTAATCTCAAGAGCATCGTCGTTAAAATTTTCTGCTCGCTTCGCTCGCAGGAGGGCCTTAAAGTTCAGTTATTTCCCCTCATTTTGGGGTTTGTATAGAAACGTCTTTCACGTTCCTGATAAAATAGAAACTAAAATGCTAAAGCAGTCCAATCCTAAAAAACTGGATTCTGACATGCTTGTCGTGGACTTTGCCCGAAGGAAAACGGATTTGGTTTAGAACTTTTGAATACTGTTAATTTTTTTTTAGATATTTGATTACAACTTTGGAAAATCACTTTTTACACGTGAAGATTCCTCGCCTTAAACAATTCAGGATATAAACGTTATTGGAATTGTGAAAGAAAAAGTCAGTTGTAGAATATGGTAAGCCACCTATGACGTTGAATAAAGGGAAATTGCCACGTAAAAATGGCATGGCCTTTTCAAACACATTTACAAAATGGCTATTTTCCCAAATTCTTATGGTTGTGATCAGCAAAAATATTTTCCTCTTTAGCCTACCAATCTTCCAAACCTGGTTACGCCACAGTTAAAAACCAAATTTTAAAAATTGGCCTTTCCATCATTTACCAGTGACCTAAAGGGTGTGGCTTCTCAACGGAAATTTTGAACAGAACCAATTTTTAGCTTGTTTTAGGCTAATCTGTTAGAATTCTTGGCTAGAATTTACGGTGTAACCCCCGCCACCCCCTTCTGACCTTATAGGAGAGTTATTGTTCGTAACCATTTGTAAAAGAAGAAACAAAAAGGAACCTTAACTGCTACAAGATTTGCCGCTCCCTCAGAGCAATGCCTTTGAATGCTACCATGTTGACAGCTTTAGAAGAATTGCCATTTTGGCTGAAACCCATTTAACAATCGTCTGTCTCCTGTTCTTTTATAATTTCTACGAGACGAATTTCGCACCGAATTCGCTACGAGTTTGTTTCAAAAGTCTCTTTTGATTTCCACCAGACTGCGAATTCGCTGCGCAATTATGTTGTAATTTTCCTCAAAACTAAACATTTAGGCGCCGATTGCGAAATACTTCACCGCGGTAAAACTTAACTTTTCTCGAAGTCAAAAATCAAACGGGTTTATGCTTTGCGAAAGACCAAAGTTTGGTTCGTTTTCTTGAACTGAATCGAATCGTTGGCAATTCATCAAGAAAAAAGCTTTTTCAAAAGCTAATGGAAGGAACTTCTTGATGCTGAAAAATAGCTTTTTTATGTTGGTGTTTGAAGTTTTGTTGCTAATATCAAAAATCTATTTATAGAACTTCTTAACTTAGAACGGCATAAATACCGCTCAACATGCAAATCTATATTCAAAATTGGGCGAGTTATGGCTAATGAAAGATCACAAGTTTGCAAACGATTATTGTTATTCTGGCCTGTTTCATAAAGTTATGAACCAAGACCAAAGCTTGTGCTCATATGATAATGTCTCAGTCAATTTGCAACAGATTCAACTGATTTTGTACATTAAGAGGTTTTTCATAATGTTCTTTTGGAAGTTATAGTCAAAATTCAAAAATCTAAAAATAGGAGTCAGATCGAGTTTCGGAGTCAGAGCGAGGCTAGCTATTTTTGGGCAGGTGAGCAGAGGCAGGTGCTTAATGTGAACACTTTTATCATGATAAGAGCTATTGATTTATAAATTGTGAAGATTTTTGTAAAGGATTCGTCTCAAATCAGCTTCAAATATGCCAGGATTTTGCAAAATCTTTCAGCCACTGCCAAAAAATTTTGAGATTTCAAGATTTTATTTCTAGATTTTAAGATTGCTCGTCGAGATTTAAAGATTTTTGAGCGATTTTAAGATTTTGGTGATTTTTCTTGGATTTCATAATTTATAGATTTTGAGATTTCAGCAATTTTTTAAGATATTTTAGAGATTTTATTGGTAATATGTGAAAGGTGAACAAGATTTTTATGAGAGATTTACCCCTCACGCGGGGGGAAGTTAAAGAAGTGCGGAACTTATAAAATGGAAGACTTTATCGTTGGGGTTGCGTAAGCGCCTTTTTATATTTTGGCTACTGTGTTGCCCTGAATTATAGTGCTCTGCACCCTGCTCTGCTCCCTGCTCTGCCCACATTGTCCATTTATCTCATCCCTCTTTCTCTCTAAAGGTCCTCTAAACCCTGGTCTGGCTGACACACGCCGTTTTCTCATGCACTCTCCTTTTTGAACGCTAGATGAACGCTAGATGAGTGTTTTGCGTCTCTTGTTTGGTCAGTTTATTCAGCTTATAAAGTGATTTTTGATGCTTGCGTCGATGGCATTTTTGTCGTTTTGTCATTAGTCTATGGGGTCATACATTAATGACTTCACTAAAATTTCAAAGATTTTTATCCCCCTTCCCCCCTGTCACTACTGCGTCGCCAGCTTCCTGACCCCTCCTGTGATTTATTGCCAGTGACGTCACTTCTCACACTACCCCCCCCCCCCTCCCTTTGCTAAATATTCATTTGAAAAGGGGAGCAAAGCGAAAAAGCATAATATTTCTTTATCACAAAAAGTTGCGGGAATTTAATGTTGCAAAATTTGTTTTTTTGAAAAAATTGCGAACATTATATGTTGCGATTAATGAACAGGATTGGCGAAAATCCCCGAAACGACTGGACTTTCTGTCAAAAAGTTAGAATGTTGAAATCATTAACAAATCAGTTTTGCTAAATATATATTTTATTTTTCATATCTGTTTTTCAAAACAGTATTTCATTTCATATCAATCTCTGCTCTCGGGGCGGAAAAACCTGATCTCAGGCTAAAGATAAAAGGTCTACGTTTCAAAGTCTTTATCGTTTCCTTCTTCATCTTGATTATCATCTAAAAAGATATCTTGCGCGTGGACCATGGTAAACAGGTGAAAACGAAAACGAAATTGCGCAGCCTTTTCCTCGCAACTTTTTCTTCGCCCAACTTTTTCTTCCAACGAAATTTTCTTCCTTTTAAGTATACATTACGTTTTCATAATTACTCGGCATCAAAAAAGCATTTTCTTGTAAAATTTCGACAAGAAAAAAAACTGGGGCAAAAATTTAATAGCATTTGATGATAGCAGTGAAAATTACTGTCAATTAACTGCCATTT